GCACTGCCGGAGATGGAGGAGCCGCCACCGCATGCATGACATCCAGAGGGTACCGGCCCAGATACCAGCCATTACAGGCCCTCTACTCGAATGGAGTAGAATGTACGGGTCTTAAGGCAACCGAGGTGGAGATGGCTGTTGTCGTTGCTTTGTACCTCTTTCCTTTCCATTACCTTCTCTTGGAAATTATTATTATTATTAGCATTATTAATATTATTATTTTTTCCTTTAACCATAACAGGAAGATGCCCATTCCAACAGTACATACCCAGCAAGCCGGGAAAGTATAGTATCAAGCTTCACGTGGTGAGCTACCCCAACCATACTCGTGGCAACCTGTTGCCACAATAACCTCTCTACCCATTGTGCTTACACAGACTAGGACACGCACATCTCCTATGTAGCCGACAAGGGCTGCTGTTCCACTACAGCGGCAACAAGAAGAGCAGGTTTTCAGATGACTATGTTTCAAAAACTGCTTCATACAACGCCTTCATGCTCTGGCGGGAGACCCACATGTAGAGGATTCCGGGTGTAATCTGAGTGTCTGTGTGTCAGGAAAGCATGTAGAGATTATGCGGTCCGCCGTGCTGTCACGTATGCAGGCATTCCCTGAATGCTGTGGATTGAGAGCGGTCAGACGAGGAGGACAGAACGGAGCAGGAGCTGTAGTAGCACTCTCTCCATGACTATCTACCTTGCTGCAAACTCGATCCAGCGGGACTCTTTGGGCGTATAGAAGAGTGGATCAGGAGAGCAGCCCAACAGACCAAACCGCTGTTCCATGTCTCCCTGCATCATGGAAAGGAGCCTGCCGAGGGTTTGGGTGTTGGTGATGGGGGTGTGACGGACCCTTTAAACTCCACGTCTCTCCATCTCTACATGTCACCCGTTGTCCTTGCAGGGTCCGTAACTCCCTGGACATTGAGTACAATAGATTCTATATAAGTTTAGAACTACAAATTAATTTAGTGGAAACTTTCATAAACTTAATGCTTAGACAGAATCTACACTGTGTAAATTGAATTGGGTTGGGTTTGCTTATATGTCTCACTAACCATTGACAAACCTGGTTCCTGACACTGTTTGTCACACATCTTAGAACCTGACTCTAAATGTTCTTCTTTTTTCTTGGTTGGTCCAGAGAGATGAGTTCCCTATAATGGAATGGGTTCTGAAGAAAAGGCAATTATTGTGTCATCAGAATCAGCCTCTTCATCTGTTGCTTCTTCTGATTCATAATCTGTATCTTCACCTGTTACATCTTGTGATTGGGTTTGTTGGTGTGTCTCAAATATGTCAGACATAAAATTTTATTTTCTAGATTTACAGCCTTATAGTTTATCATTTCCCCTTTATCTTTTCTAAAGTAGGGTTAAAAAAAAAAAACGTATTTTCTTCATCACGGAAGTTACCGGTAATCGTTTTACCATCTTGTCTTGCTTCTCTTTTTAAAGTGGCAAACCATCAACTCTTCTGCCTTTTTTTTCTGTTAAAAATTTTAGTTTGATATGAAAGTTGTTTTGGTAAAGTTCTAACCTCTTCCTCCATATTCTGTAAGGCAGTGTTTTTCAACCCTGGTCCTGCAGGCACACTGCCCTGCAAGTTTTGGATGTTTCTCAGCTTCAATACACCTGATTAAGATGACTGATTCAGTTCAGCAAAGCCTGTTAATATATTATCAATGAAGGCAGGTACGTGAAAGCTGGGAAACATCTAAAACATGCAGGGCAGTGTGCCTGCAGGACCAGGGTTGAAAAAAAACACTGCTGTAAGGAACAGGGACTGGACCCAGAATCAAACCAGCACAGGTCAGTGACATTTGAAACAAGCTTTATTTTAAAATAACTTGGAGTGGGGGTTTGAGAGCACGCAGCTCGCTGTAAAGCAGGAAACCTCCTGATTGCGAGGTTTCCGAGTCAGAGAAACCGACTTGGTCCGGGGCTTTGGGGGGGTTACTGTTGGTGCGGCCAACAGGCAGGCAGGCACTCCGGGTTATCTGGGGGCGTTATCCAGAGAGGTCCGGGGTCCGTACACAGAGGGGAACAGAGATCCAGCAGATGTACCAGTAGGGATTTTCCAGGGGCGTAATCCAGAGGGGTCCGGGGTCCAAAGACAGAACAGGGTCAGGCAACAAACAGGCAATAAGAGGGGAAAACGCTGGAATGCTCATGCGGGAGGCTAGAGACAATCTGGCACTGGCAGCTGATCTGCAGAGGGTTTATATGAGGTGAAAACAGGTGGAACCACTGAGGGCTGATTGCGGTGGAGCAGGTGTGATGAATGGAGGATCAGACCAATTGCAGAGCCGAGACTGTCACATATTCTTGTTATTTTTCTGGAACATTTTCTGCTGCTATTTTGTAAGCTTGTACTGTACTTACATTTCAACATCATTGGATCTATTAACTGTTCTTTCATATATTGTTTAATTTCACCATTACTTTGGGATAAAAGTTTTACTTTTTCAGTTTTTGTAGTGATTTTCTCCATGAAATCCTTTTGGGAATATTGCTCTAGTTCAAGCTTCTTCATTCAGTCTTCATATTTTTTGCTTAACGTTTCAAATTCCATCAGATTTTTTAGATCAGGGTAAGACACTGTTTTAGAAAAAAAACTTTTCAAGATGTTTGTTAAGTCCTCAGAGTTCTTGGATTTTTCTCTTATTCTTTTTACGCATTTCTTTTAGATGAGAGGGATCGCCCTTCTCAACCTAACAAAACATTTTGAGATTTTTCTTGCGGTTTTAAAGCAAAGCAGCTTTAAGGGAAAACAAATAACGCAGATTTAACAAGATAAAAAAGTATTAACTCGGGGAGCCTTTTCAAGTGCACACCACAATTCAGGCTTATTGTTGAATAAACATATTTTGGCATTCTTGTTTCAGAGTTATGCTCTACACTAGATCTACATATAAAAGAAAACAATAAAATACAGTAACATCTGGATATGATTTGTGACAAAACAAGAAAAATTGGAAGAATGTTACTTTACACTGAGTCATTTCCTGCTCCTCCTCCTTATTCACAAAGCCCTGCTGAGACTTCAGTTGGCTCCTCAGTTGCATCATGAAGCTTCATCATCTCACAATAGTCATCATCGCTCTTTGCTGGGTTAAAGGTATGCCTAAATTTTCCCTTCTTCATTTTCATACTACAGAGCTAAAAAACAGATAATTTTTTAACCCCATATTACTTATTTCCTTCAGGGGTTTACCTCAGTAAAGAAGGTCAAGTGTCTCAGTCTCCAGCTGAACTTTTGATGGAGCCACATAGTAATGCCAGCCTGACCCTCAAACACACAATCTCCAGCTATGACACAATCCTCTGGTACAAGCGCTCACCAGGAGACACCTCCTTAAAGCTCATAGGCTACACATCTTATAAAACCCAAAAGATTGAGGATCCATTTGAAGGCCATTTTAAAGTTAGTGGAGATGGAGAGAAAGAGGCTTCTCTTCACATACTAAACCTGACTCACCCTGAGGACAGCGGAGAATATTTTGGAGCTGCAAGTAGCACAGTGAAAAAGACAGAAGCTTTCTCATACAAAAACCCCTATAATATGATAGCAGCACAGCAGGAAACCTCTAAAACCACGTGACACAACAGATACATGATACATAAAAACTCAATCACAAAAGAAGTCAGCACAAACAGAAATAGACATTAAGAAGTCCCTTTGAACTCTAATTAAAGTCATTGCAAAAAGCACTACCCCAAGCACACTCCGATACAGTGTAGAATTAATGGAGGATTATGTGAGACTGTGAAAGGATGATTACACAAAAGAAATTAATGGTACTCCCACCTCCATGCACCAAAATTATGTTCTTTTTTCTTCAATGCTGAAATTTTCTTTACACCAAAATATATTTTCGCACCTATAGCCCTTAAGGTATTACTATAAGTTTTAGGCTCATCTGCTCAAAGAACACGGCAAAAATTGGATACTTTAGTCAGGTATTCATGTTTTTGTTATTTTTCTTTTAGAGATGAGAAGGTTCAAACTTGATCACCTCCACTGGAATTTAAAAGTATACAATATGTTTATGTATGGAAGTTTAAAGTTTGCATGTGGTAAGTCATATTGTAACAAGTTAAGATTTTAAGTACACTTTTTTCAGCATCTTCACTGAAGTTGCTTGAATAACCAGAACTGTTCATATTGGCATTTGTTTTGAATGTCCTCTACTTCTACACACATTTCTGTACATGTTAGGGTATGTTTGTAACTCTGCTGTTAGGATGATATGTGTGCCGGATACTATGTTGTATATCTTATATGCCAAACAATTCAACTGTGTAATTTTAGGCAAACAAGGTTTGGAATAAATTTGATTATGTATTATATTATAGCTTAATTGAAGAGCTTATTTTTTATATTGCCTGAGTATCTCAGTTTGTTTTAAACTATATAAAATATCCATATCTAATATCAACGGTTGGTAAAAGGCACTGAGGTGGAAATAAAATGATGGGAGAAAGTTGTTTTTCTGTCTCTTGAAACATTTTTTTTGTGCTTTTTATGTTATTCTGTTAAAAGAGAACAAATGAGGATCAATTTTCAACATCCTGGTACACTCCATCATTATTCTACATTAAAAGTGTTGTATATCAAAGTGTTGATTTTGTCTAGTGCTCCAACAAGTTTAAACAACCTTTGAAAGACAAATGAGCCCACAGCATAACTCATACCCTACCATACTTTGCCTGAGATGATTTTCACATATTCACCCTTTTTTTTGCAGACCCAACTGAATTGTTTGCCATCAAAAAGCTTAATCTCAATATCACCTGATTATTGTTTAAAGCTTTCCAGAAAACTAGAGATACATCTGTGATGGGAGGGCAGGACTTTCTTTGTTATTTTTATCTAGCAAATAGAAAAAAATGCATAAGCAGGGAATTAAAGAGTATATTACATGATTAGCAATATTTTTCTAGATATTCAAATAAGCATGCAAAGTATAAATATACTATGAACATATAATTCGTACATTTCTTGGTAGTACAAATATAAATACATAACATCCCTTAAAACAAACAAAAAAAACACTTTTTTTTTACTTAGGTAAAAAAAAATACATTTGTAAAACTTTATCTGAAGGGGTATATATAAAACTAACATTACCGTGTCATGAACACTTTAAATATAAGTTGACATTTTTTGAAATGTCTTCTTTATGAGAACTTGATGTTAACAGACACAAAAACACCTCTGTAATAGCAACTTGATATTAAGGAAACCAAAAATTCCTTCATGACTTTACATTAAAGTAATCATAATAGGTCTTATTATATACATTTAAAAAGTTCTTGAGATATCTGTGTTAACCTAACATTACAAGGTCATAAGGACTGTTATTAAAGCAGTAATAACACTTAATGACATCTTTTTTCAACTATTAAGCTCCGACTGAGGCAACCTCAATACATACATTTATACCTTACAAAATCCCAACACACACACCCTCCCCCAAGGGGAACCAACCCACCCCCTGCATAAAGAACTTTCTCAAACTTAAATATTTGGAGAAAATACAACTTGAGTTCATCAAGGTCCTTCCATGTTGGGATAATAAATCTTTCACTGGCCAGATGGATCTTCTCCAAACAACAGCCCCTCCCCTTCATGGCATGAAGGAAGAGATGTAACTCATTCTTATCTCTCATGACCTTCGTTTGCAGCCTGGGAGGCCAAGAACTGACATACTTCAAAATTTTTACTCCACATTAAAGAAAGACTCTAAAAAAAAGTTATAAAATTCATAATAATTTCTATATGTTCATGCCCGGTGCCATATATATAATACAGTTTAATGTGACATCTTATGCACAACTTATAAATTAAAGTGTTACCAAAAAATATATTTTTTGGTAACAGAAATTTGTGAGATTACATGCCTCACCATATTCAATTGGAGCGATCACACAGATAAGATCATTTTTTTCCAGAAAAATAAGTTAAATAATTTTAGCTCTGTTTTTTAAGTTTAGCCATTAGGTTTGAAGGTTATCTATCTGTGATATTGTTCATATTGTACTCTTTCTACTGTGGATTGAGTATCTACCCTGAACAGCAGAGAGCAGTAGAAACCCATGGAAATGTTGAGCTCTGAGAGCTCCTCCTCCTTAAAAATCTACAAAATATGATTACCCTCCCATTTGTCTCCCACAATACCTCTGCATGCCTGTGTTATAAAGAAAAAAATTATCTGAGCAAGGTTTTTTTTTTTTCAGTTAAGATAATGTATAAGACATTGATCCCCTCACTGATTTGTATGTCTTTTTTTGCAGGTAAATAGGAAAATATTGGAAAGAAATCAGTAAATCTTCAGTATTCAGATTTTCTGTCTAGTTTCAGTCCTCCTTTTCTGTTTTATAGACACTATGGCATCACCACCTGTAATCCAGCAGGCCCCTGCCTTCATTCAGGTAAAATCTGGAGAAGAGGCACGTCTCGAATGTTACCATGGGGATAACAGCTATCCCTACATGCTTTGGTACCAGTCAACTGTCGGGGGCCGAAAGACCATGGACCTGATTGGACTGCTTCATTATGAAAATAAAAACCCTGAGAAGGGCTTTGAAAGCCGTTTTAACTTGACCGGTCATTCAAAAGGCAAAGCCTGGCTGGTCATCTCTGATACCAAACCAGCAGACACAGCACAGTATTTCTGTGCAGCTAGTCAACACAGTGCTTTAATTCCTGTGGCTGCTGCACAAAAACACTTCTGCTCATATCTAGCATGCACCTGCAAGAACTGATGATAAACACATTTATGATGTTGAGGTTGTTTTTAATGCTTTTTCAGATAGAAAACTGGTTCGGAAATGGGTGGGACTAACAGAGATAGATACGCCTCAACACAATAAGATTGCAAGGAGCTTCTGTACATCTTTTTTTTTTTCAGAAATGACATCACTTCCTCCTGACAGATATGAAACACTTGTCTAAGGTCATCTAAATTTCTTTAGTGTCTGAAGGCAAAATGACTTCATCCATCACAACGTGGGCGTATTTTTTATTTTGGGCAGCAGGTAAACTCAGTATTATTATTATCAAAAACCATAAAGCACTATATAGATGTTCTAATTGCATATTTTTTGTACTTTCTCTTTTTTTCTAGGTGTTTCTGAGTCTGTCCTGATCTCTCAGTGGCCCCGATACATCTACAGTACTGCTGGTGATCATGCAGAAATAAACTGTTACCAAAACGACACCGATTATGATTATGTGTACTGGTACAGACAGCTTAGAGGAGGAGAAATTCAGCTTATTGTGTACTTGGTAGCTGGCACTACAAACTTTGAGGCAGACTTTAATTCTGGCTTTAAGGCAGCGCAATCTCAGAAGAAGCAATGGTCTCTGTCTATACCCAGCATTCAAAAGAAAGATGAAGCTGTGTATCTGTGTGCTGCCAGTCTCACAGTGCAGCAGCAGACCCGATGAGTGTGACAAAAACTTACAATGAAGAGATGAGAGAATGCTGATTGTTTCAACACCTGCTTCAAATGTTAGTATTTGGACTAAAGACAAAACCAGACAGCACCATGTGGGGGGGGATCATATCACATATCTAACAGTTATAAGCCCAATAATAAACTATAAAATAAACTCATTGGCATGATGTCAAACAAAACTTGCTGTGTTACTTTTTTGTGAATTTTATTTTTGTAAATTATAGTTAATACTTAAATCTGGAAGGACT